GGGGGTAGAGGTACGGGTTAGGGTTAGGATAGGAGCTGTGGGGGGTAGAGGTACGGGTTAGGGTTAGGATAGGAGCTGTGGGGGGTAGAGGTACGGGTTAGGGTTAGGATAGGAGATGCTCTTTCAAGAGCTATTTATAAATTCTATGAATTTATAAAAATTTATAACCATCTTGTAGTAACCGAGTGTCCAAGAATCGATCCATCCAATCACACGGAGCCAGGGGACTTTAGTTGTCATTCTTTTACTTAAGGAAAATCATCCGGCAAAATACAAAGTTTCAACTGGAACGTCCCGCACTAAAGCTGGCCCCCAATTTGACTCTAGTTCCGTCCCTAATATTTCCCAATATATAACTCATCTGATGAGGAAAAATAAGCATTCTTTGTAAGTGGGCAAACCTGCAAAATCAGCAAGGGCTCAAATATTTATTTCCCCCTACATAAAAAAGCGGATAAAAGCGTCTGCCAAATGCATAAACATAAACATAAACATAAACATAAACATAAATCCCTGGGGCTCCGGACCCGGTCCAGATCTTAGCCCGGACACTAAAGGCTTCCTGATGCGGTTTTATCTCTGACCTCGTAGCTGTGGGGTTAGGGTTAGGGTTAGGATAGGAACCTCGTAGAGGTTGAGCTGCTCCACCAGGTCCAGGTCGGTTCCCCTCCTCCCCCGGTGCCTCTGGGATATGGACTCTAGGCCCTGCTCCTCCAGAACGTCCACCATGTCGTAGAACGAGTCCTGGTCGGGCAGAGCTGCCAGGGTCTGGGCAGGAAAAGACCAGGTCAGTTACAGACACAAAGATATGGAATTTAATTTGAATTTGAATTGAATAAACTTTATTGATCTCCAGGGAGAAATTGACTTCCAGTACAGCCCGTAACAAGATCAAACAAACAAAACACATGAGGGTTAGGGTTAGGGTTAGGGTTAGGGTTAGGACCCATAGACACACCAGTTCAGGAGGACTGAGGGTTAGGGTTAGGGTTAGGGTTAGGGTTAGGGTTAGGACCCATAGACACACCAGTTCAGGAAGACTGAGGGCGCAACATTTTTTCTTCAGAACAAAAAGAATTAATTGGGAAAGTTGTTGCAGGAAGAGGGAAAAAAAGGCCCAGTGCCACGCCCCCTACAGGGGACGTAACAGTGATATAAAAAAAAATTCAGAGCTGCTCTTTATGGTTTTGTCTTAATGCACCTTTTTTGGCCACAAAATCCACATTTTCTGGTCAGGAATGACCACTGTGCCATAAAATATGCTTTTTTTTCATATAAAAAGCTATTTTTTTGCCAGTAAATACACCTTTTTTGTCATATAATGCACATTTTGTGCTATAAAACACACTTTTGGGCCATAAAAACTTTAGTTTTTGGCCATAAAATACCCTTTTTTGCCACAAAAAGCTATCTTTTTGCCAGTGAATACATTGTTTGCCATGAAATCCACATTTTCT